TACCCCTTTCTAACAGACTGTGCCCCTATCCTTGTAAGCAGTGCCCCTTTCTAACAGACTGTGCCCCTATCCTTGTAGGCAGTGCCCCTTTCTAACAGACAGTGCCCATATCCTTGTAAGCAGTACCCCTTTCTAACAGACTGTGCCCCTATCCTTGTAAGCAGTGCCCCTTCCTTACAGACTTTGCCCCTATCCTTGTAGGCAGTGCCCCTTTCTAACAGACTGTGCCCCTATCCTTGTAAGCAGTGCCCCTTTCTAACAGACAGTGCCCTTATCCTTGTAAGCAGTACCCCTTTCTAACAGACACTGCCCCTATCCTTGTAAGCAGTACCCCTTTCTAACAGACTGTGCCCCTATCCTTGTAGGCAGTGCCCCTTTCTAACAGACAGTGCCCCTATCCTTGTAGGCAGTGCCCCTTTCTAACAGACAGTGCCCCTATCCTTGTAAGCAGTGTCCCTTTCTAACAGACTATGCCCCTATCCTTGTAAGCAGTACCCCTTTCTAATAGACTATGCCCCTATCCTTGTAAGCAGTACCCATTTCTAACAGACTGTGCCCCTATCCTTGTAAGCAGTACCCATTTCTAACAGACTGTGCCCCTATCCTTATAGGCAGTGCCCCTTTCTAACAAACAGTACCCCTATCCTTGTAGGCAGTGCCCCTTTCTAACAGACAGTGCCCCTATCATTGTAAGTAGTGTCCCTTTCTAACAGACTGTGCTCCTATCCTTGTAAGCAGTGTCCCTTTCTAACAGACAGTGCCCCTATCTAGGCAGCGCCAGCCTCCTGAAGGCAGTGCCCTTTCTAACAGACTGTGCCATATCCTTGTAGGCAGTGCCCCTTTCTAATAGACTGTGCCCCTATCCTTGTAGGCAGTGCCCCTTTCTAACAGACTGTGCCCCTATCCCTGTAGGCACAGACTGTGCGTAGGCAGTGCGCCTTTCTAACAGACTTTGCCCCTATCCTTGTAGGCAGTGCCCCTTTCTAACAGACTGTGCCCCTATCCTTGTAGGCAGTGTCCCTTTCTAACAGACAGTGCCCCTATCCTTGTAGGCAGTGCCCCTTTCTAACAGACAGTGCCCCTATCCTTGTAGGCAGTACCCCTTTCTAATAGACTGTGCCCCTATCCTTGTAAGCAGTACCCCTTTCTAACAGACTGTGTCCCTATCCTTGTAGGCAGTGCCCCTTTCTAACAAACAGTGCCCCATCCTTGTAGGCAGTGCCCCTTTCTAACAGACAGTGCCGCTATCCTTGTAGGCAGTGCCCCTTTCTTACAGACTGTGCCCCTATCCTTGTAGGCAGTGCCCCTTTCTAACAGACTGTGCCCCTATCCTTGTAGGCAGTGCCCCTTTCTAACAGACTTTGCCCCTATCCTTGTAGGCAGTGCCCATTTCTAACAGACTGTGCTCCTATCCTTGTAAGCAGTGTCCCTTTCTAACAGACTGTGCACCTATCCTTGTAGGCAGTGCCCCTTTCTAACAAACAGTGCCCCTATCCTTGTAAGCAGTGCCCCTTTCTAAGAGACAGTGCCCCTATCCTTGTAGGCAGTGCCCCTTTCTAACAGACAGTGCCCCTATCCATGTAGTCAGTGCCCCTTTCTAACAGACTGTGCCCCTATCCTTGTAAGCAGTGTCCCTTTCTAACAGACTGTGCCCCTATCCTTGTAGGCAGTGCCCCTTTCTAACAGACAGTGCCCCTATCCTTGTAGGCAGTGCCCCTTTCTAACAGACTGTGTCCTCTATCTGTAAGCAGTGTCCTTTCTAACCAACTGTGCCCTATTCCTTGTAGGCAGTGCCCTTTTTCTAACAGACAGTGTTCTTATCCTTGTAGGCAGTGCCCCTTTCTAACAGACAATGCTCCCTATCCTTGTAGGCAGTGCCCCTTCTAACAGACAGTGCCCCCTTCTTCTAACAGACTGTGCCCCTATTCCAGTAGGCAGTGCCCCCTTCTAACAGACTGTGCCCATATCCTTGTAGGCAGTGCCCCTTTCTTACAGACTGTGCCCCTATCCTTGTAGGCAGTGCCCCTTTCTAACAGACTGTGCCCCTATCCTTGTAGGCAGTGCCCCTTTCTAACAGACTGCCCCTATCCTTGTAAGCAGTGTCCCTTTCTAACAGACAATGCCCCTATCCTTGTAGGCAGTGCCCCTTTCTAACAGACAATGCCCCTATCCTTGTAGGCAGTGCCCCTTTCTAACAAACAGTGCCCCTATCCTTGTAGGCAGTGCCCCTTTCTAACAGACTGTGCTCCTATCCTTGTAAGCAGTGTCCCTTTCTAACAGACAGTGCCCCTATCCTTGTAGGCAGTGCCCCTTTCTAACAGACAGTGCCCCTATCCTTGTAGGCAGTGCCCCTTTCTAACAGATTGTGCCCCTATCCTTGTAGGCAGTGTCCCTTTCTAACAGACAGTGCCCCTATCCTTGTAGGCAGTGCCCCTTTCTAACAGACTGTGCCCCTATCCTTGTAGGCAGTGCCCCTTTCTAACAGACTGTGCCCCTATCCTTGTAGGCAGTGCCCCTTTCTAACAGACTGTGCCCCTATCCTTGTAGGCAGTGCCCCTTTCTAACAGACTTTGCCCCTATCCTTGTAGGCAGTGCCCATTTCTAACAGACTGTGCTCCTATCCTTGTAAGCAGTGTCCCTTTCTAACAGACTGTGCACCTATCCTTGTAGGCAGTGCCCCTTTCTAACAAACAGTGCCCCTATCCTTGTAAGCAGTGCCCCTTTCTAAGAGACAGTGCCCCTATCCTTGTAGGCAGTGCCCCTTTCTAACAGACAGTGCCCCTATCCATGTAGTCAGTGCCCCTTTCTAACAGACTGTGCCCCTATCCTTGTAAGCAGTGTCCCTTTCTAACAGACTGTGCCCCTATCCTTGTAGGCAGTGCCCCTTTCTAACAGACAGTGCCCCTATCCTTGTAGGCAGTGCCCCTTTCTAACAGACTGTGCCCCTATCCTTGTAGGCAGTGCCCCTTTCTAACAGACTGTGCCCCTATCCTTGTAAGCAGTGTCCCTTTCTAACAGACTGTGCCCCTATCCTTGTAGGCAGTGCACCTTTCTAACAGACTGTGCCCCTATCCTTGTAAGCAGTGTCCCTTTCTAACAGACTGTGCCCCTATCCTTGTAGTCAGTGCCCATTTCTAACAGACAGTGCCCCTTTCTAACAGACTTTGCCCCTATCCTTGTAGGCAGTGCCCCTTTCTAACAGACAGTGCCCCTATCCTTGTAGGCAGTGCCCCTTTCTCGCAGCATTGGTAACTTGCCCCTTTCTAACAGACAGTGCCCCTATCCTTGTAGGCAGTGCCCCTTTCTAACAGACTGTGCCCCTACCCTTGTAGGCAGTGCCCCTTTCTAACAGACAGTGCCCCTATCCTTGTAGGCAGTGCCCCTTTCTAACAGACTGTGCCGCTATCCTTGTAGGCAGTGCCCCTTTCTTACAGGCAGTACCCCTTTCTAACAGACTGTGCCCATATCCTTGTAGGCAGTATCCCTTTCTAACAGACAGTGCCCCTATCCTTGTAGGCAGTGCCCCTTTCTAACAGACTGCCCCTATCCTTGTAAGCAGTGTCCCTTTCTAACAGACTGTTTTCTCCTATTCCATGTCCCAGGTTTCCATGTCCCTTTCCTCATTCCTTGTGCCTTTCTCTCGGATTCTCCTTTCAGGACACTTAATAACAAGAAGATGTTCCTGGCTGCATTTTCCGCTGTTCTGGGAAACTTTACATTTGG